TATATGTATATTCAATATATAATAAATATCTATTGAGATACAGTCTCTAAATATTTAGATAAACACATTGAAATCTAGATTTAGGATAGTATTTTTATAAATGCTTATAGAATGAAAACCTGTTCAATAAATGTAATAAAAAGTAACAAAGACAGAAACATTTTAAAATCATTTTTGTTGTGAATTGAAAGTTTATACAACTGATCAACAGTTTTACATTCAACAAATCATACACTTTGTCTAATCTCATTGATTGCAACAACAGTTATCCCACTTCCTCACTGTGGTTCTTACTCCATTGCATCCTCCATCCCATCCATTCTGAATTTTGTCCTTAAGAAAATGTTGTCCCTTTTGATCTTGAAGACTGGGCTTTCCCTAATGAGCATACCATGCCAGTGGTGTTGTTCCCCCTATGTATCTACTGCTTTGCTGAGAACTGGGCTAAAAGGGAGAATTCAATTCCAGACCTGAAGGGTGGCAAATGGCCATAGTTTTAGATTTTTTTCAGGATCTTTCTAACTCAGGACCCTGGTCTTTTTTTTTTAAGTTTGCGTTTTGTTCCATATTTTCTCCTACTCTATCCAGGACCATCTAATGTCATCCTTTTGACAGTAGTTGGTAGTGGTAGCTGGGAACCATCTAGTGTTGGTGTCAAGTTCATGGCGATTGATGTTCACAAGTTCCATTACTTCATCGGACTAATTGATTCCAAGTGTCTTCAGTTTTCATTTCTTCTTTCCACCACACATGGAAAGATCAGTAGGTGCACTGATCATGAACTTGTAAGGTCCCAGTTGCTGCTTCTCAAAGCAGGATAGAGAACATTGTCTTTGTGGAAGATGTAATGCCAGTTGACCATGGTGTTCCCTGAGACCATTGCCCTGAGACCTCAGGTGCAGCAACTCTTTGTCTCAATGTGATTGATAATGTCTGAAAAAATTTCATAATTCTAGCCTCAGTATTCGACTAAGCACAAGGTCAGCAGTTCAAACTCATCAACTGCTGCTTAGAAACTCTGTATAGGGTTGCTATAGGTTGGAACTGAACCAATGGCACTTAACACCAGCAACATTTCCCACCACATTCATAGATGCAAAAAAAGGTAAATACCCATGTACAATTATTCTCTGTCAAGCACTTATATATTTGTGGATATGCTCCAACTCTCCCTCCCATACCTGTTCAGCCTGTGTATCTGTCCCTATGTCTACTTGTAGAACGTTGTTCTTTCAGGGTTATGTGTATAACAGCATTTATCTCTATTTCTTTTAACCGCTGCATTCCTCCATGTGTCTTCATCTGTCTTCATCATTCTGTAAACATCTCTCTTGTTGTATTTTGCCTTCCCTGTCACCTGAGTTAACATGTGGTATGGCACTTAACAACAACAACCCTCTAGCTAGTAAATTGTTCTCACTTACCTCCCAACTATGGTAACCAACCATCAAAAAATGCTTCTTTTAGCATGAAAACCTGTTCTTATAATAGTGGTCTCATACAATATCTGGCCTTTTGTGATGACTAATTTCACTTAGCATAATATCCCCCAGGTTCATCCATGTTATGAGGTGTTTCACAGATTCATCATTATTCTTTAAAGTTATGTAGTATTCCAAAGTTACATAATATGTACCAACGTTTATTCATTCTTCCATTGATGTGCATTTAGGCTGTCTCTCTCTTTTTGCTTTTGTGAATAGTGTTGCAACGAACATGGGAGTGTATATATCTTTTCAGGTCATGGCTCTTAATTCTTGAGGATATATACCAAATGGAGGGATTATTGTGTTTTTCAGGTATTGCTATTTCCAACTTTTTTAGAAAACACGTTACAGTTTTCCACAGTGGTTGCACCATTTTAAAGTTCCATTGGCAGTGCAGTAGAGTAGCAATCTCTCCTTGTCCTCACCAGCATTTGTTACTGCCTGTGTTTTTAGAACACTGTTATTAATGCTGGCATGAGATGATGTCTCGCTATTGATTACGTTGGCATCTCCCTAGTGGCTAAGGAGTCCTGGTGTACCACTGCAGGTTAATGCACTGGACTGCAAGGCCGGCAGTTCAAGCTCACTGTTGCTCACTGGAAACCATATACAGGGTAACTATGAGTCAGAACTGACTTGACAGCACTTAACAACAACACCAAAATGGCTAATGATCATGAACATGGTCAGCTCAATGTCTCCTTTGTTGAAGTGTCTGTTCATGTCCTTTTTCCATTTAAAAATTGTATTATCTCTTCTTGGTGTTGAGGTGTTCTATACATTTTAGAGCTTAGTCCTTATCTGAGACATCATTGCAAAAAAATTTTAAAAATTCCCTAGTCTATTGGCTCTCTTTTCACTTTTTTACTGAAAGACTGATGCACATAGTGTCTGATTTTTAATAGGTCCCTGTCATCTATTTTGTTTTCTACTGTTTGTGTGTTTTCAGTTATGTTTGCTCATGGATTTATGCCATGTATCAGAGTCCCTAAGCTTGTACTTATATTTCCGTTGATGATCTGTGTTTTACATTTAGGTCTTTAAGCTATGTTGAGTCTGTTTTTTGTATGATGTGAGATATGGATCTTGTTTCATTTTTTTACTTACGGATTTCCAGTTTTGCCAGCACCATTTTCTGAAAGATTGTGTATTACCCATTTATTATGTTTTGGCCCTTTGTTAAAGATGAACTGACTTTATGTGTACAGATTTATTTATGGGTTCTGAATCCTGTTCCATTTAACTATTTTGTTATACCAGTATCCAGACTGTTTTGACCATTGTTACTGTGTAATGGATTTTGAGATTAGAAAGTGAGAGCCCTCCTACTTTTTTCCCTTTTTATTTGGTAATGTTTGCTTATCAGGAGCCTCAATTCTTTCCATATAAAGTTATTGATCCATTTTTCTGTCTCTTTAAAGAATGATGTTGGAATCTGGATTGGGATTGCATTATATCTATAGATTGCTTTGGGCAGTGTTAACATTTTCACAATGCTGTGTCTTCCTATACATGTGCATGCCGTATGTTTCCATTTCTCTATGTTTCTTCTTGTTTCTTGGAGTAGTGTTTGTAGTTTTCTTTGTATAGGTGTTTTGTTTCTCTGGTTAGATTAATTTCCAAATATTTAATGTTTTAGGTGGCTATTGTAGATGGTTTTGTTTTACTAATTTCCTCTTCAGAGTTCTCTTT